TTTGGAGAATTGTCTATTTAGGTCTTCTGCCCATTTTTGGATTGGGTTCTTTGTTTTTTTGATATTGAGCTGCATGAGCTGCTTGTAAATTTTGGAGATTAATCCTTTGTCAGTCACTTCATTTGCAAATATTTTCTCCCATTCTGAGGGTTGTCTTTTCTTCTTGTTTATGGTTTCCTTTGCTGTGCAAAAGCTTTTAAGTTTCATCAGGTCCCATTTGTTTATTTTTGTTTTTTTTCCATTTATCTAGGAGGTGGGTCAAAAAGGATTTTGCTGTGATTTATGTCATAGAGTGTTCTGCCTATGTTTTCCTCTAAGAGTTTTATAGTGCCTGGCCTTACATTTAGGTCTTTAATCCATTTTGAGTTTATCTTTGTGTATGGTGTTAGGAAGTGTTCTAACTTCATTCTTTTACATGTAGCTGTCCAGTTTTCCCAGCAGCACTTATTGAAGAGGATGTCTTTTCTCCATTGTATATTCTTGCCTCCTTTATCAAAGATAAGGTGACCATATGTGCATGGATTTATCTCTGGGCTTTCTATCCTGTTCCATTGATCTATATTTCTGTTTTTGTGCTAGTACCATACTGTCTTGATTACTGTAGCTTTGTAGTATAGTCTGAAGTCAGGGAGCCTGATTCCTCCAGCTCCATTTTTCTTTCTCAAGATTGCTTTGGCTATTCGGGGTCTTTTGTGTTTCCATACATTGTGAAATTTTTTGTTCTAGTTCTGTGAAAACTGCCATTGGTAGTTTTAAATTACCATTAGATTTTGTGTGCCTCAGCAAGGCAGAATGATTTTTGTACAGGGTAGGTACTCAATAACTGAATCTGCTTTCTTACTAAACTATTTGCAGTCCTGAATAGGAAAAAAAAATTATTACATTTCTATTAGTAAACTACTAAATAAATATGTACCTGAATGAGTTCCATTAACAGATTTAACTGAAATTTCTTTTGTAGCTGAGTGATATGAAAACTTTTACTTGATTTTTACTTACAGATTCCAAGCTCTCTTTTTTCATATTCAGTGAATCTAGCTGTTGCTGAAGTGTATCTAATTCCTAAGAAGAAGGAAAAAAGCAAATATATAGGCAAATTACATTAAGAATAATTTCTTTCTCAACATTTCAAATACAGATGTGACAAAGTAAATTTTGTAAATGTTTTCAACCCTTATCTTAAAATCTGACTAGAATTTATTAACATTCATTATTTCTATTTTTGCCAATTTATTTCATTATTACTAAAAACCTTGCCAAGATCTACCTTTTAAAATACTTATGAGCTTTTTAAAGGGAGCCAGAACTTTTCACAGTGAATCATCACTGTATTCTGAGAATATCAAATATCAGAAGACTTCAAATTAATGATGGTACTGTTTAAACTTATAATTTTTATTTGTCTTTTTAACCATGTTTCCATATCTTTTGCCTATTTTCTTTTAAGGCCAAGACCTGTAGCCATTTATATGGCTCACTCTTAGGGATAAGACCCTTGAACTGTTTACAGTTGACCCCTGAATAAGACAAGTTTGAGGTGCATGGGTCCAACGACATGTGGATTTTTTTCAAGAAATACGTACTACAGTACTACTCAATCCATGGATGGTTTAATCCGTGGATATGGAACCTTCGATACTGAGGGTCAACTATAAATTATACACAGACTTAAATTGCACAGGGGTCTGTGTGCCTAACACCCAAGTTGTTCAAGGGCCAACCAGACCCATTCAAACACCCCTGTGTGATATCAGCTATATTTTGATAGTATTTTGGCATTTTTATAATATTCTTTCATCAATGTTTCATTATATGTTATAAATTCTGTCTAAAATAAAAAGTTATATTAAATTTTCAATAAAGGATTATCTGAGAAACTAGAACTACATTCATTATTGGCATTTGCGGGGACTAACTCTCTGTTAACTGGTTAAGGGATATCTGGACATGAAAGGGCACTACCTTGCAAATCTGAGTCACCACCATGACTGAATGTTGAGAGGATTCTCAATAATCCCTCAGTAGGCATCCAAATTTCTTATTTAAACACCATAATTATGGGACAAAAGCTGTTCAAATTAAGGACAAAGCAAGTAAATGACTTGCTGCTTATTAGGCAGGAAGAAAAGGAAAGAAAATATCCATATGGCTCTGGTGTATGAGGACTTTTAATGTTTTCATTAAAAGTTCATTAAAAAACAAGTGTTTCATGTATCCTTATGACCTGCAAAAATGAATGATGCATAGAACTGAATAACAGAGTAAAAGCTAGGTCACTATGCAACATAAGAAAATGAAATTTTCTACATCAGTGCTTCCTAAATTCAAATGTCCATATGAATCATCTTGTTAAAATGAAGACTCTGATTAGTAGGTTTAGTCAAGCTCTCAGGGGATGCCAATGCTGCCCACCTTCAGATCACCTTTTTAGTAGTAAGACTGCTATATGCCCAGCACAGAGTAGTAATTAGTATTACCTGCAACAATTTCTCATTCACGGTTTTCATTTCTATATACTTGACTTGTTTTTCAGGAGGCATATTTTTGATAATGCCCTCTGCTGCTTGTTTTTCCTGTTCAGTTTCTTCTTCTACACTTCTAATTTGTTTTTCCTTCCTGAAATCAAAAGTATACAATATTCCTCTTACAATATTGAGGGGAAAAAAATCAATTAACTTTACTCAGTCTCAATTAAATAGGATACTTAAAAGTTATTTAACCATAGTTTGTGATCTAAAAGTCCTTATAGATGTACACAAAAATTTTATTTGACCTGTACAAAATTTGGCCCCATCAACACAGACTTATTGGGACTTCCCTGGTGGTGCAGTGGTTAAGAATCTGCCTGCCAATGCAGGGTACACGGGTTCAATCCCTGGTTCAGGAAGATCCCACATGCTGCAGAGCAACTAAGCCCGTGAGCCACAACTACTGAGCCTGCGCTCTAGAGCCCGCGAGCCACAACTACTGAGCCCGTGTGCCACAAATACTGAAGTCCACATGCCTAGAGTCCATGCTCTGCAACAAGAGAAGCCACCACAATGAGAAGCCTGCTCACTGCAACAAAGAGGAGCCCCAGCTCACCACAGCTAGAAAAAGCCCGTGCGCAGCAACGAAGACCCAACGCAGCCCAAAACAAATAAATTTATAACAAAACACAGACTTATTTTACATCTTTCTCTTCTCAATCCCCAAATCCTTGTATTTCCTTATTCTCTACTTTACTTTCTTATAAAAAACCACAAAGATTATCACAGAAAATCCTTAAAGTCTTATACATATGAGAATGTATTTGCACTTTTCGTTAACATACCCTCAAGACAAACAAGAGAGTTAAATTTTAGAATAGTGGTTTTCAAGTATCTTTTAGCTATAGAATTCTTTGACCAAATGAAATCTTGCATGGAAGTTTACCACATAAATCATCTCAAGTAACACAGCTCTGACTGCACTGGGGAGTAGGAAGACCAACAGTGCAATTTGATTAAAAAATGCATAGCTTTAGATTAATATATTTTGCTTAAATTCCCTTTTATCTACTGCTTTAATTAAAACTGGTATTAATATTTCACAAATTATCAACTGTACTTTAGCACTGCAAAATAATAAGCTAATTTCCTTGAAAATTTAACAGGAACATTACAAGTCTAATCATGTAAGTAGTAGTAATGAAATTAATTACAAACAATAACCATCTTTATCATATAATCACAAGAAATACCAGTGATGTGCCACTTATTACCTATGCAAGATCAATTATAAATAGGGTAGAGAAAAATTCTGAAAAAAAATAGAGGTAAGATGCTAGTTATCATGTAAATACTTCAAGATTTACATATAAAAAGCTTGCTTGAAGATAAATTCTCAGTCTCAATATCATAAATTTCTACTTTGAGTTTCAAAATATAATTATTCTATTCAATCTCTTTCAAATGTAGATATCATTAACAGTTTTCACAATCACTAACTGAGCCTCACAGATCCACATATCTATCCTCCACACACTTTACACATTCATACCCTAGTACCAGAATAAGATAATCTAAACTCAGAAATTTTCCTACAGAGAACATCTCATAATAACCAAATAAACGATGAACATAATGAAACAGACAACCTGGAATTTCTATTTATTTTTGTCTCATTATTGAACAGGAAGTGATGTCTTCACTTTGAGCCTCAATTATTATAGCATAAAAAAATGTGTCTGCTGCTGCTACAATTTATACGGGTATATGCGTGAGCTCACAGAAATTTCAAACAGAAAAGATCATCTATTCCAATCTCTTTGTTTCACAGATTAAGGATACTGAAGCCCAGAGAAGTTTGTTAGATCTAACTCATTCTGAACTCCATGATTATTTACTACCAACAATGAATCTTAACCATGTTTTTGCCTGATATATCTACTATAGTTAGATGGGAACTAATGTTGTAAAGTATTCCATTTTACAGAGGGGAAGTTACACAAGGAATCACAAGGAAGGTAACTGATTTTTTGAAGGCCACGTAATGGCCAAGGGTCGGGTCTTTTGATGCTTTGAGCAGTCTGCTCCTGTTATAACTTGGCAGTAAAACTACCAATGATGGTGTCATAAAAATGAGTAAACAACAAAGTTGAAACTCAGTGGAATACAAAACTTGGTGGAATCTTTTCAACTTGAATCTTTCAAAATACAAAATACCTTTAGGATCAACACTTAAATCACTTTAGCAATGTATCTTTCAAATTATGCATTTTCAATATTATATACTTTAACTCACAAAGTAAATTTGTTAATATTTAAATTTTTAAGAGTAATTAAGAATCACAAAGGTTAAGCAAGCCACCTTAGTTGTTACACTAAAAAAGTCAAAGATGACTTTAAGAAATTATTCTTCTAGTTAATCTTTTGCTAAGGAAGTCTAGTTTCTTTCTTTCTTTTTTTTTTTCCACCTGTTCACGGTACAAAGTTTAAAACAAAGTGAAATAAAATCATATGACATACTTTTTTTTTTTAATGGTGTGGAAGAAAGAGAGTACATTCCTTACACACCAGTCTCAAAGACAAAAGAAAAAAGGAAAGGTAAGGTCCTATAATATTTATAGGTTCAGTGATTACTGTTGAATTTTTTAAAATCATATTTAAATTGTTAAGTCTATACAAAAATCTCTGTCTCTAATAAGTGATGAAAGAGAAGAAAATATGATTGCATTTTTCACAAGATCTACCTTAGAACTATAAATCTGGAACATGGCCAAAAAAATCTTTCCCAAATAAATTGATAATGTAATAAAAAGTAATTATTTTTCTTTTGGGAAAAAAAAAGGTTTCATCTAACCAATCAAATTTATAAGATCTTTTTATTTTGAAATATGTTAATCACAGAGCATTTTGAAGTGATATTAACTTAAAAACAAATTTGTAAGATGAAAAAAGACTGACTACCAGGTGATAATTGTTGAAACTGGGCAATGACTATCCTACTTAGAGGTTTTTTCTTGATAGTTTCCATTATAAATTTTTTTTTTTGCGGTACGCGGGCCTCTCACTGTTGTGGCCTCTCCCATTGCAGAGCACAGGCTCCGGACGCGAACGCTCAGCGGCCATGGCTCACAGGCCCAGCCGCTCCGCAGCATGTGGGATCTTCCCAGACCAGGGCATGAACCCGTGTCCCCTGCATCAACAGGCGGACTCTCAACCACTGTGCCACCAGGGAAGCCCCATTATAAAAGTTTTTAAATTTGAAAAAAAAAAGTTCTATAAAATTACAAGAGAGAAGTTAATTGTGAATTATTAATACCTTACTCCAAATACATTGAATTCTGGTATAAATATCTAAAATATTTAATGACAAAACCGTATTACAGTATATATATTTTATTTAACGAAACCAAAATAATTGCAGTATCTTTTTATTTCATGGTGTATAATAGCCATATAAAGTACACGACCAAAAACTTCTCAGAAACTTGTACTTGAAACTGCACTAAGAAGAACATTGTTTCTTTTTCAATATCTACCATTTCCTTTTGTGAAAATCTTTTTTTCTGTAATATAGGTTATAGGCTATATAAAAGGGCACTTAATTTTGTAAGATAGTTTTTTAAAAAAACTGATATTTCATTTATTCTCTATTTTTTAATCACTAAACTCAAGCCCACATATCATTTCAAAATAAATATCAAATTGAGAAAAAAATCCAAAGGGAGAAAAAGGCAATAATAGCTGTTTCCTTTTAAATCAACTTTTTAAATAGGGTAAACTGACTCAAAAACAATTTCTGCATAAACTACCGGCTAGTTATTCTGCCAATCTGATGTCTTCAAGATAGCCAATAAAGCTAGCAAATGTTGCTGTCTAAGGATTTGTCTATTTAGTGTTGTGATGGTCAATATCCACCTACCCCGTCTTTCAATCTTTCCCCTCTCAAAACATGTACAAATATATGAAAAGCCCCATGGACCTTGTGGCTCAATCAATGCATTTCATAGCTTTAGACCTAATAATGGTTTAGATCTGTTGACTGCTTTCTTGTACAGAATCTACCTTAAGCTCTAAGTATATATAGTTTCTAACTCTAAAATTTATCAAATAGAAGGAAAAAAAAGATTCCTTTTCTAACCCTTACGATTTTATTCACTTTAGCATACTGGAGAAGACAATTATTAGTATAACGCAGATGATAAAGATAATAAATACAAGACAATCCTCTGTCTCCATTTTCACAAAGTCTCACAGTCCCACCTGACCTCCATTACCTTCTCCAGCTGCTTCTATTCCACATAAACTCTTTAGTTAATTTTCTTTGTAGCCTATCTGCTTCCTTTATTCATCCTTATCCTATTTATTTCTGGGGGGAAAAAAAGAAGCACTTTTCCCTTACCACTGCCCTACCCACATGGGCATCCTACAAAAACATCAGGAAAAATTTCACTACACCATTGAGAAATACTGAAACAGGCCACTGGGGAGGTTGCATACTTATTCCTAGAAATCACTAAATACGGGTAAACTACCTTTTATATATGATTTAGGGATCCCCTTTTGTAGGCAGTGGTCTGGAATAAGTGATAGCTTGAATTCATTTCTGACTCTAAAAGGGATTCTATTATGATCTACATTCAAATTGTAAAATCTAGGAGAACAGTGGCTTTTTCTTCAAACTTTGATTTAGCCACGTAAAGAAAGAAAGTGGAAAAGGAATAAACATAAACAGATCATCAGACAGAAGGCAATGAGGAAGTTAACTAGAATAGACCAGTACTGGCATAACAATAAATTCCTCATTGCTAATGCAGCAACAGACTTTAGTAACTTGAAATGTATCTTGCTCACTGAGTAGTTTCTTACCTCCTGCTCTCGTGGGATAAATTTTCCTAAAAAGTCATAAGCAACTAATTGTACAAGTGCTATAAGAAGGCTCAAAAGACTAAATTTTAACCACTAAGGATGATAGTAACAGGACATATTCATATCATTTCAAACAGATCATTTGTTTGCAGCAGTTTCTTATTTATTTCTTATTTATTTATTTATTTTTGATGTGGACCATTTTTTAAAGTCTTTATTGAATTTGTTACAATATTGCTTCTGTTTTCTGTTTTGGTATTTTGGCTGCAAGGCATGTGGAATCTTAGCACCCTGACCAGGGATTGAACCTGCACTCCCCTGCATTGGAAGGCGAAGTCTTAACCACTGGACCGCCAGGGAAGTCCCTATTTATTTATTTTTTAATAGGTCTTTTTAAAATTAATTTTTATTGGAGAACAGTTGCTTTATGCAGCAGTTTCTAATGTTGACTTTAAGAAAACAGAAATAAAAATAAGAAATATCAAGGTCATGAATAAAATGACTAAATGGAAAGTATTTATAGTAAGAAGAATTACTGAAATAAATGGCAATTTCCAGTTAAACATGGCATGTTGAATGTACCCACTAACTTGGACTCCTGTCCAAAACCCTACTAAAATGAAAATAAAAGGAAATTTGAAGTATATAAACTCATAATGACAAAAAGAATGGAAGAGGAAACAACAGCAATAAAATCTAGAAACTAGAAAGCTAAAAATTAAGGGCAAACTGACTGGGAAAGCAAAATTCTCCCAAGCCAGCAGTGGGGAAAACTGAGAAGCCACTTGATTTACACTGCAGAATCCCTAGATGGCCCAGAGATTGGCAGTACCAGATATTCTGGAAGTAGAAAAGGAGGGGCTGAAACATAGTTGAAAGTCTTTCTCCCTGACACTGCCCAGCCAGGTAAAGGTCCTCTCCTACCTAAGCAGAAAAATAAGGCTTTTGTTTTTTTGCTCTGGGGAAAATAAAACAAACAGAATCTGGGCACTAGGCACAAGTGACTGCAGGGACGTTATGCCAAAAGCAGGGAGAATAAGTTAAAGTTTACATATTAATTACTGAGACAAACTCAACTTTTCCACCACTGAGCTCTCAGAACGCTGGCTACTTGGCCTCACCTTTTCAGGCAGATTAAAAATGTCATTTTGGGGAATCCAAGCAGCCCAAGAGAAACAATCTAAAGATAATGACATTTAGGGATTCCCCCAAAAAACAGTCCATTATGGTCACTCTACAGTAAGATCTAAAGTTAATAAGAACTGGGAATTCCTTGGTGGTCCAGTGGTTAGGACTCCACGCTTCCACTGCAGGGGGCACGGGTTCGATCCCTGGTCAGGGAACTAAGACCCCAAAGGCCATGCGGTGTGGCCAAAAAATAATAGAGAAGTTAATAAGAACCACACAAATGCACAGTTTCCCATCAGCTTTTTTGTTTCCCACTCTTATATGTAAGTCCTAAACCAAATATTAACAGATACGCAAAGTTCAAAAGAAAACCTCTAACATAAAGGATACTTATAAAAATAAACTGGAAAAGCACAACTTGAGGGTACAAAGGCTATTCAAGGAAAAAGAAAACAAGAGATACAAGAAAAAACAAGGAAAAAAATATATTCATACAACAGTATACTACAAAAGAAATTTTCAGAGAACAAAAAGAACTTAGAATTAAGAAGATGACAGGAAAAAGAAAACTTTAATAGAAGAGTTTGACGATAAAGTTCCAGAAAGCAGAGCAAAAACACACAGAGATGAAATGTGGAAGAGTAAACATAAAAAATTAGAAAATCATACCAGGAGATCCAACACCTAATTAAAGGGGTTCTAGAAAGAGAAGTGAGGTTTTTTTTTTAATGAGGAAGAAAATTATCAGTACCATCAATCAAATAATTCAGAAAATTTCCCACTGTTTCCAGATTGAAAGTGCCCACCAACTGCCCAGTTTCATGAATGAAAACAGACTCTCACAAAGGATGATGAAATTTCAGAATATCCATATTAAGGCTATATTGTACAACTCAGAGAATATAGCCAATGTTTTATAATAACTATAAATGGAGTATAACCTTTAAAAATTGTGAATCACTATACTGTACACCTCTAACTATATAATATTTTAGAGCAAAGAAAAAGCTTTGGGGTTAAGAAACGGCAAGTTACATAAAAGGATAAAGAATTAGAATGGCATAGCATCACAGTTCTTAACAGTAATACAGTCATGGTTGGTTGAATCCACAGATGTAAAACCCGTGGATACGAAGGGTCCACTGTATTCATTATATTGCACCATTTTATGTAAGGGACTTGAACATCTACAGATTTGGTATCTGTAGGGACTCCTGAAACCAATCCCCTGCTGATACTGAGGGACGACTATACTAGAAACCCAAAGACAATGGGGCGGTGCCATCAACCTTTTGAGGGAAAATTATTTCCTACTCAGAGTTCTATTTCTAGCCAAAATATCTTTTATGGTCTAAAAAAAATTCTCTCCTATGGACCTTCTCAGGAAGCTCCTGCAGGAAGCTCCATGGAAAAAAGGCAGTAATCCAAGACAGACCATTCTAGAAAACAGGAATCCAGTAACAAGGGCAAATTGTCTCTACAATGAGGGTGGAAGGAGAGTGGAAGTCAACGGCTGTGTAGAGGGCCTAGTGATCAGCTCATCTAGATCAGAGCATGGCAGCAGGCTCTGGGAGAGACTTCTTCAAGCAAATGAAACAAATTAAACTATCTAATATACATAAACTATTGAGAGATTTGCTAGGGAGAGTTTGGGTATAAATTAATGAGAAAAAAAACACAACCCTAAGCACATGAATAGAAAACCAGGACAATTAATTAGAGGAAAAACAGTGTGCAGGAACAGAATAATAATCCTGTTAACAGGGCTCAGTCATTGACAGCTTTATACATTCCTGATAGTATAAACACTGAGTACTCATCTAACCAAAATTACAAGTGACTATGCTCGGAGAGTAAAGAGACAGTAAATATGTATTTGATGCATTGAAGATGAAGGTAGGGAGTGTTTGAAAGAAAGCTGAGGACTCTCATCTCCCAAAGTGTTAAGTCAAAGGATAATATCAATAGATAATGCCTAAAATTGAAAAATCAAGAAGTAGCAATATAAGCATATACTTAAATGTGTATATATACATAAATATATATCCTTCTGGACTTTCTTTTGTGCACATATATTAAAATTTTTAAATGTACAACCACTTCAATGGTTTTAAAGCTCCTGTCACTAGATCTAGGAACTAAAGAGACACCCTGAAAATTACTGTCTTTCATTCTCCCCAGGAGCTTTCCAGTTTTTTAAGATTAGAGTGCAGGGAGGGTGTTTCATATTTTATATATTTTAAGAAAAAACAGATTTAAAAGGAGAAAAATGGAAATCAAAATGTCCTAAAAGATCTCTAATGTTCTAGTCTCCTAATGAGATATAAATACTCTCTTTTCTGTCAGGCTTGCAATATGAAAATCACAAGCATCGCAATCTTGTTTTGGCCACTCTCCATGCCATTGTTATCAGATGAAAGCCAGACGTCTAAAACCGTAAGTTTTTACAATCAAGCTAGTGAAAATATTTTCAAAGGTACACTTTGTGTAGATTTAGTAAAATACTGAAGGCAATAAAAGAAAGAAGAAAAAACTCAAGCTATCAAAACAAACTCTTTAGTTAGCTGTGTATATTCAAAACATGTGATCTCTGAGCCAGATTCTAATTTGACAAAAGCAGTCTTCATTTTTTAAAAAACTGAGTTCTTTAAAAGCTGACTAAAGGAGAAATACATAAAATTTCACTACAAAACCAGAGATTAGTTAAGACATAAAAAACACACTTTAAAATGTAGGAAACTTAAAAAAAAATACATATTTATGAGGGAAATTGCTGTTGTTACATTATTATTATTATTGGGGGACATTTCAACTGCAAAAACAGTCAAAACAAGAGCTATTTCTTTGGATTAATATCCACATAAGGAAAGCACTTCTTCCTGTTGCCTGACTCTTTAAATTCAACACATGGCTCAATTTCTGTTACAAGATATTTTCTTTTAAAACACCAAATTTTGAGCTGTTAACCCTATAGAGGTGTGTATATATATATATATATATATATATATTTTTTTTTTTTTTTTTTTTTTTTTTTTTTTGCGGTATGCGGGCCTCTCACTGCTGTGGCCTCTCCCGTTGCGGAGCACAGGCTCCGGACGCGCAGCCTCAGCGGCCACGGCTCACAGGCCCAGCCGCGCCAAGGCATGTGGGATCTTCCCGGATCGGGGCACGAACCGGTGTCCCCTGCATCAGCAGGCGGACTCTCAACCACTGCGCCACCAGGGAAGCCCTAGAGGTATATATTGAATATTGTTTCTTAATTATTTAATAGTCCTAGATGTAGTGCTGGTAGCTCTGATTTTTAGAAATTACATTTTTACATTATTTTCTCATTATAAATGTCAATCTTGCACACTGAAATACTAAGTTAACAGAATTATTATTTACCATTTATTTCCACATATATAAATGGCAATATACCAATATTTTCTTTCTGTAATGATTATTTAATAACAGTTGGAAGATACTTGTATGACAAACGATCTCCTTCCTCAATTATATATATCAGAATTCCTTAATCTTCAACATTCCATCCCAATAAAAAAAAGTATTTGCTTTACCTTTTTCATATTTTAACATAAAAAGATTAGATAGTAGGGCTTCCCTGGTGGCACAGTGGTTGGGAGTCCGCCCGCCGATGCGGGGGCCGCAGGTTCGTGCCCCGGTGCGGGAGGATCCCGCGTGCCGCGGAGCGGCTGCGCCTGTGGGCCATGGCCGCTGGGCCTGCGCATCGGGAGCCTGTGCTCCGCGACGGGAGAGGCTGCGACAGAGAGAGGCTCACGTACCGCAAAAAAAAAAAAAAATTTGATAGTAGATTTTTTTCTAAAAGTATTTCCTTCTAATGTCTAATTGCCTGCATATGAAAATTTGGGAAATTCTGCTAGCATTTTTCCTTATTAATGCATTTCTAATTTTCTTTTTAGGAAGTCAAATGTAATTTCACTGCAAAGAATTATGCTTTGATTCCAGCAAATATCAATAAAAATGTTACTATACTTGACCTCAGTTATAACCAAATTACTCTGAATGTTACAGATACAAGAGTTCTACAGACATATTTTTTACTCACCGAGCTCTATTTGATTGAGAACAATGTCATTATCCTACGTAATAATAGTTTTGGTAACCTCTCCAATCTAGAAATTTTAAATATCTGTAGAAACTCCATCCACATAATTCAACAGCGTGCCTTTACAGGCTTAGATAAACTAAAACAGTTATATCTCTGCCAAAACAAAATAGTTCAACTGAATCATGATATATTTGTGCCTCTAAAAAGCCTGATACTATTGAATCTGCAAGGCAATTTGATAAGCTATCTTGATGTATCACAACTGTTTCATCTGGAATTCATAATTTTATACGGAAATCCGTGGAACTGCTCTTGTAGTCTACTGAATTTGCAAAACTGGTTGAACACATCGAATGTGACACTAGGTAAGCAATCATAATTTAAATTAGTCAAAACCAAAATGTGATTGATTTTGGATTGTTCTACCCCAGAAAAGTCTCTTGTTTCATGTCTAAAAGAAAAGGAAACTTCCTGTTTAAGGGAAACAAGAAGAAACACTGAAAAGCAATTGCTGAGTACAAGCTCTCCCTCTGCCTCTCCAGAAAAAAAGAAAAAGAAGAAAAGAAACTTAAATGTTCTATATATATATGAGATGAAACTGTCACTTTGTATACTAAGTTTGCAGTTTCAATATATAAGACTAATTTTTAAAAGCACTTCCTTTTCTTAGGATAGCTTGTCAGAGAGTAGGTGAAAACAGGTGCCCTACTTTCTAAACTACATGCCATGTTCCAGATGTTCACCATAATCTAAATCATAACATTTTTACATTACTACACAGACAAACTAAACAATAAACAGATACTGTACTTAACCTACATTTATAACATAAACAGAAATGGGCATTTCCCTTGTTGTGTTGCTAGGCAAATACAACAGTTTCTTTTTTATAATATCTTTAATGACGACAGATAAATATGTCAAAAAATTCTAGATAAAAAATTATAAAATGTTGTTAACCATAATAATTTATTAACCATAATAATATTATTTTCCATAATAAATCTTATTCTTTCTAATTTACTAGAAAATGAGAACATCACCATGTGCAGCTATCCGGATACACTAAAGTGCTACAATATCAAAACAGTACCTTACAAGGCTGAATGCTACTCAAAATTTCCTTCATCTATAAGTGAAGATCTTTACATTCATTTTCAGTCCATTAGCAATTCAACATATAATAGTTTTTTGAACAACATAACAAGAAATTCAGGTAATGTACTGGTTTTGAATAATAATATTGCTGAGGATAGCATACCAAATAAACTGAGATAGTTCTCATTATTTTTTTGTACTTTAAATTTCTAAAAACTATGTAAAAGAACAATTCTTCCACCCAAGAAAAGACTGACAAAATACTGGGTTTCTAAAGTAGGCTCTGCTAGCTTTCAGTCAAATGCCGTTATGCAAATTATTGATATTTAACTTCTCTGAGCCTTGGTATTAACTAGTTAAGTCACAATTTTTAACAGGTATAAATCAATAATGTTCCTAGATGAATGGATAAACAATACCTGCTAAGACAGGTAGATATTTTGAAAAAAGGTATTCTTTCACCACACTATGAAATATCTTTATTTTTGGCAGTTTTAGTAACTTTTGCTTAAAGAAGATTATGTACATTTATTTCTAATACTGGGGAGTTATTAGGACATGTAATTATGATTATTTTATTTTTGTCAATTTAACAAAACTACCCCCACCCTCTCTTTCTCGGTATTCCATTTAAGAACGTGAATCTCAAGGAAAAAGCTGGACTCTTCTTGTCAGTGTTGTAGTCACTGTACTGATGACTTCACTCCTCATTTCAATTGCTATCAAATGTCCAGTATGGTATAATTTTCTGCTTAGTTACAATCATCATCGCCTGGAAGAGCATGAAGCAGAAACCTATGAAGATAGTTTTACCAGAAATCCAAGTCCTCCTCCACAGATACCAGACACAAGCTCTGAAGAAACTATAGTAATATTTGAACAACTACATCAATTTGTGGTAGATGATGATGGGTTTATTGAAGACAAATACATAGATACTCATGAATTACGTGAAGAAAATTAATTTCTTTCAATGTTTGATTCTTTAAAGATGTTAACAGCTCACTCACAGTTTAGACATGGAGATTTTGATACATGACATACTGAACTATAGCTAGTAGACCATCATATTAATTGCAACACACATATATATCATAAAATTATGCTCTTCTCATTGGCACTGTGCAAGTAGGTCCAAATACAGTAACTGCCACTCCTTGTTAGCTAACAGTTAAAATACTAGCATTACTATTCTCAGCAGGATTCAGGGGACCATACAGAACAGTAGGAAAAGGCCTAAAGTAAATTATTCATTAATTAAAATGAACAGATTTTCATATTAGTCAGATATGTGATGTAATACATATTAAAGTTTTACTGATTGGAATCAGTAAAGAAATAAAAGATTTTGGAATTTTATCACAAGTCAAAGTGAAGAACAGAGATAGTTTAAACTGACTACATGCTAAGGTTGATTTTATGCCCATAGAATGAATTCATGGAATTGGAAAATGCTTTTTAAATTTTTTTAAATGTTTCCTGAATTGGCACAACAAATTTCTGAAAATTTAGTAGTGATTTAAAGCACAGGTACAATGTCCAGGCACAATCTCTTGATTTTCGTTACAAAGAAAGACTGTCAGCAAAATGCATGCAATTGAATAATATGGTGGCTTCCAAAGTGGGAATCATCTATGAATCTTGTTTTTTAAAATACCTATTTCTGCCTCTCTTTAGGAGATTTTTATTCAAATGATTCTGTGCTGTGGCTGAGGAATCTTCAGTTGGTCCGTGGTCAGTTCTTTGGGATGCTGTAGATAGAGCAATGTTTCCCAAATTGTCTTCTAGAACATTAATTTCCAGAGAGACATTCAGAAGTATTTACAGGGTGGGGGATTAAAAGGTACATGGACAAACTACTATAGAATTACTAGGAAATACTGGGTTTAAACAAAGTCAAACAAGTTTCTTTACTATAGGACCTACCCAAGGCTTTACTAAACTGCTCTCTGCTCTTCAAGAGCAAAATATTAAGAATTTGCCAAACTTCCTTGACAACAAAACCTTTCCTTTGATGTATGGCTGCTAATACCTCATAGGACAATAATGGTCCAAAGAATACTGGCCTTGAGACTATTATAGGAAGAGTCCAAAGTGAATTATTTGCCAATTCCTTATAATCAATTGGCTACAATCATAATTTTAACAACTTAATGCAAATAGTGGCATTACAAATTGTAACAAAATCTATCATTTTTACCTTCCATATGTGAGGAAATTTAGTATACAGTATTTATATCTTTTAGAGAAAGGAATATCTCTAAAACACTGAAATATATTTATGGATTAAATAATATGGGGTTTTAAATTTTCTTCATCATTATACAGGGAAGGGAATAGTGTCTAGTGGTCTGGATGGAGCAGGGTTGGATAAAAGCTGATGGAGATGGGTGCATAGGAGTATAATATACTATTTAATTTTGGGGTATGTTCAAATTTCTCTATGACATAAAGTTTTTAACACATGTACATACCTGATAATTTCTTAGAAAAAAGAGACTAAAAATAATGTAGATGTACATTATATCCTAAAAATAGTCATTTTTAAGGTATATCAATAGTAAATTCAGTTCAAATGTCTACTGAGGAAAATAAAAACTGTTTTGGATGATATACCCTGTGAAATAAAAGAACTGGCTCATTTGTAATGCGTATTTCTATTTATAGGAACATGTTTTCAATAAAGGATATAAATGCTTTAAGTGTAATATTTCCTAACAGATAATGTAAATTATACGTTATGGTTTTAAACCTCAATTATAGGGCTTCCCTGGTGGCGCAGTGGTAGAGAGTCCGCCTGCCGATGCAGGGGACACGGGTTCGTGCTCCGGTCTGGGAAGATCCCACATGCCGCGGAGCGGCTGGGCCCGTGAGCCATGGACGCTGAGCCTGCGCGTCCGGAGCCTGTGCTCCGCAACGGGAGAGGCCACAGCAGTGAGAGGCCCACGTACCACAAAAAAAAAAAAAAAAAAAAAAAGTCTCAATTATAAGAGTGAGATAACTTAAAAAATATAAGGCATCTTTTTCTAAATAATCTATCATTTTACCAAAATATCATTTCTTAATTTGAGGCAAATATTCATATTTGAGAAATGTAGTAAAATGAAATATAATTATAAATGAGCAAAAACTACCTTTCATCTCTTACATTCAAAAGCCTCTTATAATTAAACATTGGATATTCAATAGATATGACTAAACAAAGAAAAATAAATGGGTTTAAAATTATAATTTCATATATTTTTAAAGGATAAATGATTTTAGCTAACACCAAAACTAGAAAACTGTATACATTAGAATTGGAAGAGAATCATTAGTTTAAGCAGGCACATGAAACTGAATTAAAGCCACAGGTGTCATAGTAACATATTGAGGCTATATACTATAACCAATTTATTAAAAATAGGTGTTCCATAATAAACTAGATGGTCTCATACCACAGTAAATGGTGGTACTAAAAGAGAAGAGAATAAAAACAAGATTTTTATACCTGCTTTCTCAAGGTATGACATTTCCTGCTCCCTTTGAATGTACAGAATCAAGGTAAAGTCTTGTGTTATTAAGATGTTGACTATCTGATTAACACATGAAATAAATCTATCCTCCTGTGATATATAAAAATAAACTTTATAAAAATAACTTGTTATTAATTTAAATTTCCTCTTAAAGAGTCAGGAGAACCTATTTCACTCAGCCTTAGTTACAAACTACCGATATTAAGTTTTGAAACTGCTGACATTTTCAGGACAAAGTACCTTATTTTAAGAACATTGTCCTTAATCAAATGAACCAAATAGACATAAAAACCTATGAAATTCCTAAATTTATAATCTGGGAGTTATCCTTTTGGATAAAATATCTATAAAACATGTACATATAATATTTATAAATCTGACCTGGGTATCATATAACTTTTCAGATAAATGATGAAATAAATGAGGACCTAATGTTCTAAACTATATAAGGTCCTCAACAGGGTATAGCTTATTATTTCTTATTCTTTAGGTACCTAGGAAAATATTTTATATGTAGTAAATGATAACTATTTGCTAAATGGTCTAAAACCAGAACAACAACAACAAAAAGGAAGTTTTCAAGTAAGTGCTTGGTCACCATGAATATGGAATTTTCTTTGTAAAAGGGAAGAGACTTCCAGTATATTTGTAATTTTTAAGATAGCACTTTAGGGACTTCCCTGGTGGTCCAGTGGTTAAGACTCCATGCTACCAATGTAGGGGGCCTGAGTTCAATCCCTGGTCAGGGAACTAGATCCCGCGTGCCACAACTAATACCCAGTGTAGCCAAAAAAAAAAAAAAAAGACAGTATTTTACAGTAGCATCAAATGATACATGGGGAAAATGAGATTCCTTTGTTTTTCATCAATAGAAAATTACATTTATCTTTCAAATAGTTCATCCTTATATTTAAAATCCTATTCTTCATCAAATATTTACTGTACATGCAGAGGTAATATGACAGTATGTTTGATGTTACATAATTTTGGTTAATTATTATCCTTGCTCTCAAGGAAATTAATATTGATAAGTTTATGGAACAAAATGTGTGCAGTATTAGTATGTACAAAATAGCTCATCTTCTGTTTGCACTGCTTTAGACAGTAATTAAGATCAAAAAGTCAATAAAGAATAATTATGTTAACTAATGCTGTTGTCTGAATATTTGTGTCCCTCCAAAATTCATATGTTGAAATCCTAACCACCAAAGGTAATGGTATTAGCAGGGTGGGGCCTTTGGGAGGTGATTAGGTCATGAGGGTGGAGTCCTCACGAATGGGATTAGGGCCCTTATAAAAGAGATCCCACAGGGCTTCCCTGGTTGCGCAGTGGTTGAGAGTCCACCTGCCGATGCAGGGGACACGGGTCCGTGCCCTGGTCCGGGAAGATCCCACATGCCGCGGAGCGACTGGGCCCGTGAACCATGGCCACTGAGCCTGCGCGTCTGGAGCCTGTGCTCCGCAATGGGAGAGGCCACAACAGCGAGAGGCCCGCGTACTGCAAAAAAAAAAAAAAAGAGATCCTACAGAGCTCCATAGCCTCTTCCACCATGTGATGATACCTTGAGAAGGTGCTAGGTATGAACCAGTAAGAGGGCCTTCACCAAAATAGGACTATACTGGTGCCTTGATCTTGGACTTCCCAGCCTCCAGAACTGTGAGCAATAAATTCCTGTTGTTTATAAGTAACCAAGTCTATGGTATTTTGTTATAGCGGCCCAAATGGGCTCAGATAACTACACTACATCCATTTATTAGCTTTGTAGTCATTACTGTCACTGCCACATTTACCTTATAACCAAACTCAAAGTTACTTGGTATTTGGTCTTTAACCAGGTTATATACAAAGATGCACAAATAATCTACATCTATGATTAGATTACTAATATAACAATTATCAATTAATAACTGAATAATGAAATAATATAAATAGTCCACTGAATAAGAACGTGCATTTCATTAGACTGGGGCTTAAATCTCATAATTCGAATTAGTTAAAAAGCTCAGGTTAGGGACTTCCCTGGTGGTCCGGTGGTAAAGAATCCATCTTATAATGCAGCGGGGGAGGGTTAGATCCCTGGTCGGGGGACTAAGATCCCACATGCCATGGGGCAACTAAGCCTACGTGCCACTACTGAGCTCATGTGCCTCAACTAAAGCCCACATGCTGCAAACTAGAGAGCCCACGTGCTCTGGAACCTGCATGCCACAGCTAGAGAGAAGCCTGTGCGCCACAATGAAGAGCCTGCATGCTGCAATGAAAGATCCTGCATGCCTCAACAAAGATCCCGTGTGCCGCAACTAAGAGCCGACGCATTAAGCTGGGATGAAGTGAGAGAGCGGCATGGACTTATATACACTAACAAATGTAAAATAGATAGCTAGTGGGAAGCAGCCACATAGCACAGGGAGATGAGCTCGGTGCTTTGTGACCACCTAGACGGGTGGG